AAGAAAGAAAGAAAGAAAGAAAGAAAGAAAGAAAGAAGAAAGAAAGAGAATTCAACAATTCAGACATGCTCTTTTCTACCAATAGAGGAGAATACGTGTAGCTCAGGGTTGAAAGGAGGGTTCCTTGGTGCTCGCTGAGCTTGGTTGTTTTCTTGCAGACGTTTCATGACCCAGCTAGGTAACATGATCAGTGTTAGTCATCACTAGCACTGATGGTATTACCTATTTTTGGGTAATGAAACATCTGCAAGAAAACAACCAAGCTCAGCGAGCACCAAGGAGCCTTCATGCTCTTTTCTAGCACACTCTCTTTCATTCCCCCCTCCCCAGCCCTTCCCAAATACTGGGACACAACTCTGTTGAGTATATTTAATTGTCACTCAAGTTTCTTTGTCATTTTTGTCCATGTTTCAATAGCCAATGAGCACAGCCACAACTCCCACAACTCTTAATCAGGATTCTTCAGTATATAATTCAGTATCGCCTAGAAAGTCATAGGCACTCTAATTTCGCAGGCTGCATTGTTTAAATTTAAGCCGGTAGCAAAGGAACATACCTTGCTGAGTTCTTTCTGATATTGGGGCATCTTTTTCAGCATCTGGGAAAGGTCCCTTAGGGTGGTCTGAAAGGTAGAAAGAGAGGTTGATCCTCAGCAAAGCTCTTGAATTCTAAATTGTGGAACTCACCAGTATCAAATGCTAAAACCTAACAGATTAACAGAGCTGGAAGGGACCTTGTAGGTCATCTAGTCCAACCCCCCACCTAAGCAGGAGACCCTACACCATTTTTGACAGATGGCAATCCAGTCTCTTGTTGAACCCTTCCAGGAATGAAGCTCCCACAACTTCTGAAGGCAACTTCTGTTAGTTGGTTGCTCTCACTGTCAGAAAATGTCTCCTTATTTCCAGGTTGAATCTCTCCTTGTTCAATTTCCATCCATTATTCCTTGTCTGGCCTTCAGATGCCTTGGAAAATAGCGTGACCCCCCTCTTCTTCTCTGTGGCAGCCCCTCAAATATTGGAACGCTGCTACCCTGTCTCCCCTGGTCCTTCTCTTCACTAGACTAGCCAGGCCCAGTTCCTGCAACCTTGGATCAGATCCAAATTCTGCCTGTTGGAAGGAGTGAGCTGGCAGTTCTCAGAATCCAGGAGAGGGAAGTAAGGTAACACCCCAGGTACTTGTTTAATTCCCTCCAGCTCACTTCCATAATTCCTTTAATTCCCACTTAACAACTGAACAGCTTAGCAATAGAAATTTTGGGTCAATTACAGCCATAAGCCGAGAACTACCTGTGTAGTACAATGCTCTTGTCAGTTACCCCAATTATATCATGAGTCTCCAGCCAAACTTCCAAAACTTCAAAAGGATTTATTGGGAGTTAACCTGTCTGGCACTGCCTGGGTGTAGCCAACTCTGAGATACATCATTCATTGTCACCCTGGACCCTGATTTCCCCCCACCCCCTGGGTGTATCATAATTCATGTTCTCCAATGGGACACGTCCATAGCCCAGAGTCATCAATCAGGCTCTCCAGTTGGATATTTGTGTGGCAGAAACTTCTGTCACCTAGTTACTATCTAGGTGAAAAACTATGTATGGAATGCCCTTTTGGTTTGCAAGCTGCCGCGCTGCTCATTCAAACCCCTTTCCTCCCTCCCTTTCTGTTGGCAACTCTACAAAGACCATAGAAATGTTTTATGAGTTGACAGCTCTCTCAAGAAAGATACAGATGAAATTACAGCCAATAAGCTCAGTTTCAGGATATTCCATTCCATTCTCTTTTCTTTTCATTTTTTCCCTTCAAAGATCTCCATTGCTGCTCCAAAAAATATGTATTTTTAAGCTTTGCTTTCTGTTTTTTAGTCCAGATTTATTGGAAGCCTTCTAATTTCTGATCTTACCTTGTCACCAGTATTCATCCTTTTGCTAGAAGAAAAATCCTTCAGGGATCGGGTGACTTCTCTGGAAAAGAATGACAAATACAAGCAAAATAAGTTGCATGCATGGTTCCAATCAAAGCAAGCCACTGGCTGAAATGATGCAACGTGCATGGGTCCTTCAATTAGCTAAATGAAGACATCTCTTTGATTTTGGATTGCTTGCATTGAAACAATGCTTGAAAGAGGGTTGCAGCTATGGTAGAGATGAGCAACTGGTACAATGGGCACTGGTTTTATTATGAGCCAGCCATGTGCTGCAGCTGCCAAAAAAGCCAACACAGTCCTTGGGTGCATAAACAGAGGGATAGAATCAAGACTGCGTGAAGTGTTAGTACCACCTTATAATGCCTTGGAAAGGCCACACTTGGAATACTGCATCCAGTTTTGATCACCACAGTGTAAAAAAGATGTTGAGACTCTCTAGAAAGAGTGCAAAGAAGAGCAACAAAGACGATTAGGGGGCTGGAGGCTAAACCATATCAAGAATGGTTGCTGGAACTGGGTATGTCTAGTCTGAAGAAAAGAAGGACTAGGGGGTGAGATGATAGCAGTCTTCCAATATTTGAGGGGCTGCCACAAAGAAGAGGGAGTCAAAGTATTATCCTAATACCCCTAATTCTTCTTTTCTTTAGACTAGCCAGACCCCAAACCTGCAGCCGTTCTTCATATGTTTTACTCTGTCAGGCCTTTGATCAACTTAGCTGCCCTTCTCTGAACTTGTTCCAAAGTCTCAACATCTATTTTATAGTACGGTGGCCAAAATCGGTTGCAGTATTCCAGGTGTGGCCTTACTAGGGTTTTATAAAGTGGCAGTAATAATCTTAGCTGATTTCAAAAGACTTAAGACAGTTAATCCCAGTTAGCAACTGAATGAGAGCCTCCAGGAAATTCCAATCCTGGATGTCAAGACTGAGAAGCCAAAATAAATCTCAGAAGAAAGCAGTGGTAAAACTATCTCCACACTGTGATTAAGAAAAGGGCATTCATGTCTCCATGAAACTTGAAGCCCAGTCAAGGAGGCCTTTATCTCGACCTGCTTGTTCTCTCATCTCCAATGTTTCTGAGGAAAGGTCACCAGAAATAATGTGGGCAGCATGGAGCCCTCCATGCGCCATAGTGCAGAAGAAGAAGAAATGCTTACTGGGACACCTCGGCGATATGTTTGTGGCGCAAAGTAACCCAGAGGTCATCATCTTCATCCAGTAGGACTTCTTTGACCCGGGCCTCCCCGATTCCACTTGTGTCATACCTGAGAATTTCAAAAGAGAATGTTCTGACCTAGGCTCCCCCCAAAAGCACTAAGCAGACTCTTTGTCCCAGCAAAACCCCTTTTATTGAACGAAGGTGAATTTCTTGCATTCACATTCAGCCAAAGGCCTGGCAAACAGTCTTCCAAGGGTGTAATTAGGAGCACAAACCTTGTCTAGCTTGGAGAGCTGCCAAGGAAATATTTTCAAACACAGTGCTGACAAAGAAGGACTCAGCACAGAGTCTCTGAGATGCACAGACAGATCTTCACACGGCTGCAACGAACGAATTGTTTCCTTCAAAAGCCCCCTCCCCGTTTGCTCCTCCTCTTTTAATCCTATTCACTGCCCACCTGTGGCCTTATTCCCACATCGACCCTTATTTCGTAATTGTTCTTTTGGCAGCTCTGCGCCTGCGCAGGCTGGAACCGGCTCCAGTTGCTCCCCCACCTCACTGCTGTCTGACTCAGAAGGCAGCTGATGACTGCCAGCCTGCCCTGGGCCCATCTCTGCCTCTGACACAGAGCTTTTGTCCCAGCCTTCCCATCTTCCTCCCCAACCTCCTCACTATCCGACTGGGCTGCCAGCTCTGCTAGCCACCGGCGGGCCACAACAAAGAACACGAATAAACAAATCAGTGACTTCATACAATAAATCTATATATTTCTGGGTTTTGGAGGGACCACGATGGACATGCAGTTTTCAGTCATGGAGACTTTATATACGGTTTCTCTTATACCTCACAGACAGTACAGAAATAAAACAGGAGAACCTTACTTGTAGACATCATTTTCAATGGGTAGCAAATCGTAGCTCATGGCTTGGAATGTGAGCTCATGCAACACTGGAGAGCTGGGGTCAAAGCCACGGTCTAGAATGATGAGCTGGGAACGAGCTTTGTCTGGACCCTGGATAGAAGGAAGCAAACCAAGAGGCCATCAGAACTATCCAACCTGCTTTCCACCAAGTGGAAGACGATTTCTCTGAAAGCAAACTCCGATGACAAAATGTTGATGTTCTTCTGAGAGACATACTTTCAATCAGAATAAAACTGGAAGGGACTTTGGAGATCTTCTAGTCCAACCCCCTGCTCAAGCAGGAGACCCTATACAATTTCATACAGGTCCAGTCTCTCCTTAAAAACTTCCAGTGATGAAGCAGCCACAACTTCTGAAGTTAAGCCATTTCACTGGTTAATTGTCCTTACTGTTAGGAAGTTTCTCTTGAATGCCAGGTTGCTTCTCTCCTTGATGAGTTTCTATCCATTGTTTCTTGTCCTGCCTTCAGGGGCTCTGAAGAATAGCTTGACTCCCTCCTCTTTGGGGCAGCCCCTCAAATACTGGAATACTGCTATCATGTTACCTTGATCCTTTTTTTTCTCTAGACAGGCCATACCTGGTTCCTGCATCTTTTTTGTCTCCAGGCTCTTAACCATCTTAATTCCTCTTCTTAGCACTTTTTCCAAAGTCTCAACATCTGTTTTTGTAATGTGGTGACCAAAACTGGATGCAGTATTCCAGGTGTGGCCTTACTAAGGCTTTATAAAGCACTATAGTCTAAAAGTAATACAAAAGAATGCTAACCAATATTCCCCAATTCTGCTAAGTCACACAGTACAAAGTGAATTTGGGCCCCTTACAGAATTATCTGCAAGGCATGGAAAAAACTGTGGGATAGGAAGTCAAAGGGTCTAAGGATAGGAAGGTGTTAGTTGGAGCTACATCTAACAAGAGTTCATACAACTTGTCTGGGGTGGAAATTGGGATTGTGTTGAGAGGAATAAAACGGCTGAGTAGCTTTGGGCTCCTTGTGGAGAGGAAGAGGCAGAAGAGAGATTCTCCCTAAAAACTTTGTAATATTTATTGAGTAGTTATGCAATGTGTGCTTCTAAATTCCTGACTATAAGCGAACAATGATAAAAATGTATAAACAACAATATATAAAATATCAATAAGCAACGATAAACTCTTCATCTCACCAAGTGGTTTCTGGTTCCTTTTGCCCACTGTATCCAGTTTGGTGAATTGACCCATCTAGCTCTGCTCAAATCCGCAGTCCAGATACATCAATTCAGTCTCTTTAACTACAAGGATTCACTCACCTCTCCCATGGTTGGGTCATCTGCTTTGTATGCATCCAATTTGTCCTGGATCAGCTGAGCCAGCATAGCATTGTCCTTGTAATCCCTGCCAAAAGAGGACAATTGCTCTTTCAAAAGCCAGGGCTGGTTTCATTTCACGGGCCCCATTGAGGATGTGCTGGGCTCACATTTGTCCTCTGTTTTCACTGCCATGCAACAAAGAGTTCCTTCCGTTCTCTCATGGGCTAACTTTAATAATTTTTTAGAACAGCTTTGAGGGACTCTTTCCTGATGACTTGACCTGAGGGCCAAGTTGGGGAAAGAAGACTGGGCTCTAATCTAGTTTGGACCAAAAAGTTGACCAGTAATTTTGAAGATCAATCAAATGGCTCCCTCACCTGAACCCCTCCTAAATGAAACCACTGAACACATAAATCTCCTACCTTTGTTAGAATGTCAGCATTCCAAGTAATGCACCCATAGAAAGCAGGACTCTGAGGCAGGTAGATTCCTCAAAGAACAATTTTATTGGGTACATCGCATTGGCACGACTGGTGAAAACCAACTCTGAAAAGTTCCCACGGTTTTCACCCAGTTAAAAATGAAAGTTTCCCCTTTCCCCCCAAGTCATCTGTCACATTGTCCAATAGAGGTGCTGGCCGGTTGCTTGGTTACTCTACTCCTTCTCTTTCCAGCCACCTGTTGAAATGTCCTTGGTTCCCACAGGAAGACTTTCTGTTTTGGCTACAAAACCCCAGCTATCTATTTTCCTTCCCCTTCCCATCCAGTGGCAACCTTGAAGCCGTATAGATGGCCTCAGCCAGGTTCGCTTCAGGGTTGACCTAGAGTTTAATACAGAAAACTTCACAATCCAGGCATCTTTCATTCTAAAGCTAAGCACCCAATTCCACTGACTCTCAAGATTTTAATTTAAAACCAAAGCAGTAGAGGCCATATAGTTTGGAAGCCTCCAGGATCTGGAAGTTATCTTCACCCATTTCCTGTTCATCAAGAAACAGACATCTGTCAAGAGCTGGATGAAGCTTCTGGTTTCATGCAGGTCACCTCAGGAGGCCAGTTGTAGAAGCTCAGTAACGGGAAACCCTTGCAATCACTTGAGTTCTCCTGTCAACCCTTTTCAAGGAGATGTCAAAAGATTTGTACAATTGTCTCCTGAGAATTCAAAAAAGGGACTATGATTCAATTTGAAAAGAGTTGATAGGAGATTGATTCCAAGGATTTCCCATTCCTGAACTTCTGCAACTGGACTCCAGAGGTGACCTGCTTAAAAGCTAGAAGCTTCTGTCCATCTAGCTCTTGACAGATGTCTATTTTTTTTTCTTTGCATAAAGTTTTTTTCTTTTATATCATATAAAGTTCCATTTTTAGTTAAACAGTGTGTTGTCTGGGTACAAATAGTTTTAGGAAATAATCATCAAAGTGTTTATAACAATGTTCATTACATTGACATTCATTCTATCATAATGATCATCATACTAATACTTGCTTATGCATTTTCATTGATCCTTTTCTTATATTTCTATGATTCTAACTTCTGTTTTTATCAACTAACCATTGATAAAATAAGTCCCAAGTCAAAAAGTATTCAGTTTTTTCCTTTTTCCTTAATTGTGAGTGTTAATCTATCCATTTCTGCACATTCTAATTTTTTTAAATCACATTTTCATCTGCAGGGATCTCTTCACTTTTCCATTGTTGTGCAAATACAATTTTGGCTGCAGTCAATACATGTAAAATCAAATATGCATTCCCCTTGTTATACTTATCCAGTACAGATGCCTATTTCTTGACGAATGGGAAAGGGATGAAGAGGCTTTCTATGTATGTGGCATCTACTGCATTGGTTTTAAAATTAAAAAATTTGAGAGGTTCATAGTGAAGAGAGTCCTCCAGAAACTCCATGTACTCACCCCCTGTATCGCACAGCCGGGTATTCCTTCAGCGTGGCGCAAAGGGTTGCGATCTGTTCGGCCAAGCGTTCCAGAATTGGATTCTTCATTTGAGCCTTGTGAGGGCTGTAAAAGCTCTGGAAGGAGTCCCCTGAATCCAGGGAGTAAACCTTTAGTAGGCATCACAAGGGTGTGGGGGGGAAAAGAAAGAAAAGGAGCTGAAACGCTCAAGTGGAAGTGGCTCAAACGCAATACTTTCCCGTGTTTGGCTTACCCACCTAGGAAGGATGAAGGAAACCAGCTATCTAAAATGCAGGAGGAAGTCCGTCTGATGTCTAATTCCAATCATCACCTTAAGGTGCTACATGCATGTCGGAATATATCATACACACCCTGGTTTATAGTGCAGAGTAATTGTCCCTACGTGTACATTTTGTGTTGTGCAAATTTTAAAAACCCGGTAAAAATAGAAGGAAAGAAAATTGCATGATGAATGGCTGAGCAACCAAGTTTATGCCTTGCTTATCGAAGAGAAGGATCAGAGGGGACAGGATTGCTGTCTTCCAGTACTTGAGGGTCTCTCACAAACAAGAGGGGATTCACCTATTCTGCAAAGCAACCGAAGGCAGGACAAGAAATAAGGGTGGAAGCTTGTTAAAGAGAGATCCAACCTAGAACTAAGAAGAAATTTCCTGACAGTGAGAACGATTAATCAGTGGAACGGATTAATGGAACACTGATTGAGCACCCCATTCTGACCCAGCTCCCCAAACATGACAAACCCTCTGAAGTTAACTCAAAGATTCCTTTATTACAAGTGCTAGCAGCACTGGCAAAAAGTTTCTCTCTCAACACAGGCTAACAAGTCCATCTGTCCAGGAGATGAGCAGTTGTCTGCCACAGCTATTCATCTCCAGGCCCCCTGCCTTTTATCCCAAGAGCTAGAGTGGGGCTTCTCTACCAGTGGCGGCTCTTCCGTCCCAAGGACCGGCCCATGGATTTCCACTGCTCTCCTCTCCTCTGCCTTCCATCCATCTCCCATCCGCACATCAGGCACTGGACCCAGCTGTTCCTCCTCTTCCTCATCAGCCACCTCCAGTCCTGGGGGCTGTTGACTCTCCATCTAAGGGATGGCCCAGGTCCTGCCTCTGTCTCTCTGCCAGCTCCATTCCCTCTTCCCCCTCAGAGCTCTCAGGTTGCCTTGATGCTGACCCTGACTCCCACACCTCCTCCTCCTCTGATTCGGCTGCTGGAGGGGCCAGTGGCTGACAGACCACAACACACCCACAACTGAGCACCCAGAGTTGTGGGTGTTCCATTCCTGGAGATTTTCAAAAGTAGACTGCACAATCATTTAACAAAGATCTCTGAGGTCCCTTCCAGCCCTGGGATCCTACCCCAGGTCTGAATATATGTGAAAATGTCCAATATGGTTTTTAAAAATATATCTCCCTCATTTAATCCCCATAACAACGTGCTGTATTTCAAGCACTGTGCTTTTAGAGAGGAAAAAAGTCAATCTGCCATATATTTACAATGCCGCTTAACCATCTGCCATCTGTTTTTTTCTCCTTTGCTCTTCACTTCCCCCACTTTTGCCCTTACAAGAGAGGAGATGGAAAAGGAGGCACGCTTTGCACAACTGAACAACAGCTTGGAAGAGATCAAGCAACAACCAACAGTCAAAGAAAAAACAAGTGTGTGGAAGCAAATAGGGGGTGAACAGAGGGTGTGTGTGTGTGTGTGTGTGTGTGCATGGATAGAAGGACGCAACACTCATCACAAAAGCTCAGCAGTCAAAGCCAATGAGCATCAGAGGACAGTATAGAAAAGAAGGACAGACAATCTTGGTGCCTTGGAGGGAACCATTGCATAAATCCTGCTTTTTTCCGTGGCAAACACAAACTCCTCAAGAAAAACCAGCATCCAAAAGATTATCCGAATCCAGACTGTTTATTTTTCCTCTCCATAAAATAATTTAGCTCCGTTCTGCTGCATTTGGAGATGCCTGCTGATCCTTTCCATTAATTACCCAGTGATCGGAGAACCTTAAAAAGGGAGCATGAGATGATATAACTGTGAATTATACTAAAGCAGCTTGAGTGATCCTATGGTGATCCTTTTGCAAATTGATGCAAAATTTATCTGGCTAACTGGTGCAGGGAATATTTGCTGGTGCACAGGTAGAAGGACTGCTCTTCTCCCAGTGTTTGGGATGATGGCTTTTGCAGTAAAAATGAAACCCCAAATAGAATAACAGAGCTGGAAGGGACACTGGAAGTCTTCTAGTCCAACCCACTGCTCAAGCAGGAGACCCTATACTATTCCAGACAAATAGGTCTCCAATCTCTTCTTTAAAACCTCCAGGGATGGAGCACCCACAACATCTGAAGGCACCTGGAGAACACCAGGTCATTTTGTCCAAAACTTTGGAGCATCTTACAAAGCTTCCACCGAGACCAAAGAAACAAAACAAACTGATAAAAATGTAGTTACATCCAAATAGTCTTTCTTCACTTCTAGCTCAATCAACAGTTTACCTGGGACTCATAGGGCAGGAAAGCTATGTTGATCTCTGTCAGAGTCTTGATGACTTTTGCTGCCCGGGATTTGACCAGTTCATTGAATAAGGAATCTGGACAAGCTGAGGACAGAAAGAGACAGGGACCACAAAGCTTAGGCAACACAAACAAATCCATTAATTTGCCCTAAAGTGGATAACTGCAGATTATCCCACCCATTGCAACGATAGCAAGAAGAATGGTTCTAGTAGAGATTAGGATCCAAGGATTTGGCGACTGTCTTTGAAAGTCAGCTAGATCAATCCACAGTTCAGTTCAGGAACTTCCAATGCAAGACACCAGGCTGCTCAACGGCTGCTTTCACACAATCTGGGATTTTGCACAAGGTACTGGCTTGGATTAGTCTTACTTTGGAATTCATTTACTGACTTAGCGTGTTATGCAAATCCACAAGTGACTTGTGTGAACCTAGAAACAGAGCTATTTAGGTGAATGTGGCCAGGATCTCATTAAAGCAGCTGCTTCTACTGCAGATGGAACTAGAGTTTGATGTGTGGCCTCAAATCGGATCCTGAAAATGGAGTGGAGCTTCAAAAATATTACAACCCAGAGCGGGAACCCCAGTTTATTCCATACTTACAGTCCGTGAAGAAGACATGCGCAGCTCGATATTTGGCATTTGGGGGTTCCTTGAAGTCAGCAATGAGAGACTCCACCGACTGAGAAAGAAGATTAAATGGATTTAGTTCACTTCTTATCAAGAATATTGGCCTGAATGAATATAATTTTCAATTATTACAAAGGTAAAAATAGGACCTGGAGCAAAAAGTTTTGACAGTACTCCCAGGAATACTATGGAAATAACTGTTAATATTAAGGACTGTTATAACATAACTTCACTTGTTCCCATTGGTTTAGTGTCTTTGTTTGGATAGCATAATGTCCTACCAAAAGAAAAACACTTGAAGATATATAAACATGCAATGAATGATTGCAGGAACTGGTACATCTAGTCTAATGAAGGACTGGGGTGACCTTTGAGGGGCTGTTACAAAGAAGAGGGGGACAGCCTATTTTTCAGAGCACTAGGGACAGGACAAGAAGAAACAGATGGAAACTTATCAATAGGAGAAGCAACCTAGAATTAAGAAGAAATTTCCCAACAGCGAGCACAATTAATCAGTGGAACAGCTTATCTCCAGAGGTTGTGGGTATTCTAACACTGGAGATTTTCAAGAAGAGTTTAGATAACCATTTGTCCAGGATAGTCTAGGGTCTCCTGCTTGAGCAGAGGGTAGGACTAGAAGACCTTCAAGGTACCTTCCAAGTCTGTTATTCTGTTAAGATGCTATGCCCAACCTGGACAGCTATCCTATTAACACAACACCCACCTTGTCGGATGGAGTGATGAGATACACAGCCTCCAGGCTAGGCAACGGCTCTCGGCGCTTATTAATATCTTCTACAACTGGATTCAGCCACACCCAACAAGGAGAAGCAGAGAAAGAAACAGAGCAGAAGGAAATCAGAACAAAGGTTGGGCGTTTCAATACCCTTAACTTTGATTCAAACTGGAGATCAATTCTGTTTGAAAGTTATCTGCCAATCCCCAGCTCGCTTTCCTTTCTTAGCTTCCTGGAGGCAGAAGGAGCTCTACCCTTGAGGATTTCAGAAGAGGCAAAGAGGAGACAAGACACCTGAACAGCGGTTGTGTCAACTTTGGAAGCCATATTAGCACCAGAAGCTGCCACGCTGCTACATTCCTGTGCCTGGGAAATTGGGAGGGGGGATTTTGTAGAGTGGTTGTAGTTAGACATCATAGCATTCTTCTTTACAGTCAAGGTCATGTTATTCCTGCACCTGGAAGAGGAGTGATTGAAGGGAGGTCTCAAGTTGGAAGGGGGGGTGATTGGGCCAGTTGATGGAGTGATGGGTGATGGAGTGATGGATTTTGTGATATTTAATTATTGGAGGAAGACCCAGAACTCTCAGATTCAGGTTTTCCCAGATGTGCCAGTATGACAACTCTAATAAAATGGAACTTTGAGGAAATGCCTGTCTTGGAGTTTTGGTGTTGGTGTTTGTTTTCCTGGAACGCTGACAGGTTCACGCTAAAGAATGTTGCAGGTTGTGCAAAAGAAGGCACAGGTTTTAGTTCTGAATGAGTGAGTGTGAGTACAATCCCAAAGTTTTACTTACTTGTTATCCCTTCCGTCATAATATCTGTCATTTTGCAGCAGGAGGACAGCATACGCATACTCAGCTGATCCACCACCAGCACCTGGAAAAGACACAGAGAAGGGAGATGTCACTCCCAAGAGTATGAATTGGCTTTAGGCATTAAACCAGGGGTCTTCAAACTTGACAGCTTTAAAACTTGTGGACTTCGACTCCCAGGATTCCTCCTCCAGTCATGTTAGCTCAAGAATTCTGGGAGTTGAAGTCCACAAGTCTTAAACTTGCCAAGTTTGAAGACCCTTGCATTAAACCTGCCTGAGAGAAGGCCCTCTGCCCCACTGAAATGGCTCAATCTAATCTACCGCAAGAGCCATGGTGGTGCGGTGGCTAGAATGCAGGATTGCAGGCTAATTCTGCCGACTGCCAGCAATTCGATCGTGACTGGCTCAAGGCTGACTCAGCCTTCCCTCCTTCCAAGGTGGGTAAAACGAGCACCCAGATTGCTGGGGGGGGGGGGGCAGAGGCTGACTCTGTAAACCACTTAGAGGGCTGTAAAGCACTGTGAAGCAGTTTATAAGTCTAAGTGCTATTACTATCTTCTATGGATGTAGGTTTAAATGGGTGGGGAGTTAGATATACTCAGTAACCCATATAATTAATTAAAATTCAGACCTAGAGACCACATTCACACATTGTGTTAAGCTGAGCAAAGGTTACATCGACTATATCTTCTGTCTATGTAATTGAACATTGTGTAAACTCAGAAAAGAGACTAAATCAGAAACCAGGTCAAATGGCAATGGGATACAGGCATCAAACAGTCTAGGTATGAAAAAGCCATTGATTTGTTTTGAACTCACCTTCCATTCTCCCTTCTTTTTTACTTTCTTTATGACATCAGCCATAATCTCTGCCAAAAAAAATCAAAAGAGGGGAATTAGGAAGAGAATTAATCCATGATGAGTTGGCATCAGCCCTATTGTAGAAGCAAGTTAAACTATAGCATTGGCCGTGGCTAAAATAAGCTTCTTGCATTAATGGCTATTCCCATTACTTGGACTGCAATGACTTCATCACAATTCACAACCCTTGTTGCTGTCTGTGTAGCTCTGATCATAAAACTGGACATTGTTTAAATTTGGTTTCTAAATTCATTGCACTGTTGAAAGTTTAACTTCTCTTTTAGTTGATATGGGAAAACTTTGCACACAGAGCTTTTCAAACAAAAGGAGGAAGAAGATACAACAGGCATTTCCTGTGACCACACATCGCGAACTTTCCGTTTGTTTCTTCACAATTTGGAAAAATGAATACTATAGATTCCAGAAAACAAGGCCTACCACACACGCCACTCTGCCCCAGATTGCCAATTTATTATTCCTTGGTTAAAAATAATATTTGCTCTGCCTCAGATTATGGCATATGTAAGGGAAAGGCTTCTTCACTGTACATTTCAAAAGTAAGTTTCTACATTTAGGCAAGAAAAATCAAATGCACAGGTACAGTATATGTGGCACCTTGCTCAATAGTAGTAACTGTAAGAGGGATCTCGGAGTCCTAGTGGACAACCATTTCAATATGAGCCAGCAGTGCAGCAGCTGCCAAAAAAGCCAATACAGTTCTAGGCTGCATTAACAGAGGGATAGAATCAAGATCGCGTGAAGTGTTGGTACCACTTAATAATGCCTTGGTAAGGCCACACTTTGAATATAGTTTTGGTCACCATCATGTGAAAAAGATGTTGAGACTCTGGAAAGAGTGCAGAGAAGAGCAACAAAGATGACTAGGAGACTGGAGGCTAAAACATAGGATGAATGGTTGCAGGAACTGGGTATGTCTAGTCTGATGATAAGGAGGACTAGGGGGTGACATGATAGCAGCCTTCCAATATCTCAGGGACTGCCACAAAGAAGAGGGAGTCAAGCTATTCTCCAAAGCGCCTGGAGGCAGAACAAGAAGCAATGGGTGGAAACTAAACAAGGAGGGAAGCAACCTAGAACTAAGGAGGAATTTCCTGACAGTGAGAACAATTAGTCAATGGAACAAAACTTGCCTCCAGAACCTGTGGGTGCTCCATCACTGGAAGTATTTAAGAAGAGGTTTAATAACCTTTGATGGTAGGATTTCCTGTTTGAGTGGGGTGTTGGACTAGAAGACCTCCAGAATCCCTTCCAACTCCGTTATTCTGTTATTCTTATGAGCTGAACATTAATCAGGGAGTAAGATAGCTGCCTGCATTCCTGCCTTTTCAGAAATCTAATCTTTTACAGTCATTGAGTAGAGTTCTACTGAATCACCTAATTCTAGAGAAACTCTTTTTTATACATCTTAAGAGCCATTTATTCTCCACTAAAGGGCAAGGACACCAATAGGTTATTTAGAATATAAGCAAATGAATCTTAAATGGCTTGCCTCTGGAAGTTGTGGGTGCTCTGTCTCTAGAGGCTTTTAAGAAGAGACTGTACGGCCATTGCAGAAAAAACAATGGCCACCAACCTGCCTTCCATGGAGGACCTGTATGCTGCACGAGTCAAAAAGAGGGCTGGGAAAATATCTACAGACCCCTCACATCCTGGAGATAAATTGTTTCAACTCCTTCCCTCAAAACGACGCTACAGAGCCCTGCACACCAGAACAACTGGACACAAGGGGAGTTTTTTCCCCAAATGCCATCCCTCTGCTAAACAAATAATTCCCTCAACACTGTCCAACTATTTACTAAGACTGTATCACTATTCTTCTCATCCTTCCTCTTACCTATCTCCTTCTACTTATGACTATAACCTTGTTGCTTGTATCTTTATGGTTTATATTGTTTTACTTTCCTAGTATGATTCGATTGCTTATTTGGCATCCTATGGCTATCACTAAGTGTTGTGTCTTGTGATTCTTGATGAATGCATTCTTTTTAGGTACCCTGAGAGCTTATGCACCGAAGACAATTCCTTGTGTATAAATTCATTCGGGCAAACTCTTTGCTGCGACAAACGAGTGAATTGAAAAAGAAAAGGTGTTCCAGAATCTGTTAGAAACAATCTTTAGCTAATGTCTGAAAAAGGAAGCCGTGTGTCAGCGCTCGAACAGTTACCCCCATTTAAACTCATAAAATATTTCTAAGGTCTTTTTAGAGTTGCCACTGTGTTTACGTCGATGCATCTTATGAAGCCCACTGTCTTTTTAAGCAACTTCCCATCTTCCATTCATGGATAACCTTCTGAGAAAAAGATGTAATGAAAACTGGCAGGCACTGAAACTGGTCAAATGCTTTCTCACAACCATACTAGATTGGATCATCTTTTGATCTAATGCTAGGTTTGCCTTTTGGATTTTTTTAAAAAAATCCCAACTTGACTTGAATCCAAGTCAAAAGTTGATACACCCAAACAAACAAAAATGTCAGCGAGCAGTTCAAGAAAGAGGGGGAAATGGTATAACAGCTTTGAGCACGGACAAACCTAATGATATTACTTCATCTATTATGTAGGATTTGAGAAATAAGCTTCCAGAAAGAGTGAAAGGGAGTATTCAGCTAACTGCTTTGTAAATTCTGCACTAGTGTCAAGTCTAAGTGTGGAACCAACACATCATTTAAGGTTGTTCATATTTCAAGGCCCACAATTATTAGACATCAATGCAAAATTTTACTGATAGAATAGCTGCAGCTCAGGGTTGAACTGTGAGGTCCTTAGTGCTCTCTGAGCTTGTTGGTTTTCCTGCAGTTGTTTCCTTACTGAACTGGGAACATCAACAGTGCTAAAAGGGGACTGGGGACTGGGGAGAGGAGGAGGAGAAGGAAGAATGTGGAGTCCTTGGTGCTCTGAGCTTGTTGGTTTTCTTTTAGATGTTTTCTTACTGAACTAGGGAACATCATCAGTGCTAGAAGGGAATGGGGTTTGCAAAGAGGGAGAGGAGGAATATGGGGTCCTTGGTGCTCTCTGAACTTGTTTATTTTCTTGCAGACATTTCACGACCCAACTAGGTAGCATCATCAGTCGTAGAAGGGAGTGGGGTTTGCTGAGAGGAGGAGGTGGTGGACTGTGGGGTCCTTGGTGCTCTCTGATCTTGTTTTCTAGGTAACAACATCAGTGCCAGTCCTCAGTGCCTAGCTAATCATCAGGACTAGCGTTGATGTTAGTTGGTTGGATAATCAAATGTTTGCAAGGAAACAACCAGCTCAGAAAGCACCAAGGACACCACAGAATTTTATTTCTCCCCTCACTTACAGAAGAGTCTTTTCAATAAAGTGGCGATCAATGCAAACTCCCAAACAATTCCTCATTGTTGTTTTTTATTATTATTTCTACCTCCTCCATACATAACTCCTGCAGCAGAATGTGAGAGGGAGATCTGACTGAGTGACTGGCAATCTGGTGTTCACAAGGCTGCTTGGATTTTCAAAAACACCCAAGAACGATGGAGACGCTGAATTGTGATGCGGTAGGAGGAAAGTGGCTACGAATCCACAAGGATGTTTCCTCTTCCAGCCACCGCCAATCCATCAGGTTCCACCTCCAATCACTGCCAAGTCTCACCACCACATCCCAGTTTGAGCCCAGCCTTCTCTGACTGCAGCACGAAGCACAGGTCACAACATGGAATAGTTTTTGTTGGGGATCTTAGCTGAAACTTATAGTAAAGGGAAGGCATATTTAATTATCCATCTATTAAATGCAGCTAGAATTGTATTTAAGAGATTCCTAATTGTGAAGAGATTCCTAATGATGAGAGTGTAATCAGGAAAATATTAGAATGTGCAGAAATGAATAGATTAACACTAGCAATCAAGGAGAAAGAACAAAACTGAATGTTATATTACATGGGAATTATTGTATCGATGGTTGGAGGAGATAAACTATATTTCACATTAGTGAAATATAGAACGTATGTTCAGATAGAGATGTAAACAATATGACGACTGTCATTATGATTATTAGGCTTATTTCTGTTTAATATTATCACTGTATTCTTATTAGAAGATATGTTAAGAGGGAGAAAGGAATAGGTTTATTATATAGCTGTATGACTGTAACCTTGTTGCTTGTATCCTAACAATTTTTATTGACTGTTTCCTAGTATGTTTTGATTGCTTATTGTACCCTATGACTATCATTAAGTGTTGTACCTTATGATTCTTGACTCTTGACAGGTGTATCTTTTCTTTTATATACACTGAAAGCATTTGCACCAAGACAAATTCCTTGTGTGTCCAATCACACTTGGCCAATAAAGAATTCTATTCTATTCTATTCTATTCTATTCTATTCTATTCTATTCTATTCTATTCTATTCTATTCTATATACAATATAATGATTGTAAGATTAGAAAATCAATATTAACGTAGTGTATATTCTTGTAAATTTAGCACAGAAACGTTTGTAACCAGACAACACACTGTTTAATGGAAGATGGAATGTTTACATAAAATAAAAATTAAAAAAAAAAACAACGCACGAAAGGTGCTTTTGGATGGGAGGCAAATGATCTTCCCTACTGGATTTCTAATCTTCTAGAGAGGGTCAACCACGGCAGATGCACACACACAGACACACACACCACAACCTGCAAGGCAATTATTGCCCGATGCACCCTGGTCAATCCTCTTAGGGGGAAAAAATGGCTTAGCTGTAATTGCCGAAGACAGCTCAAAGGAGTTTTAAGCAAGCCAAACTAGAACGTTCCATTTCAAAGCAGGCATAAGAACACAGGTTGGTACCTCTGGCACAACCTCCCAAGAAGTTGGGTCCAAATGCAAAACACTCAATTTTTTCAGGCACATTGCTAATTATTTTAAGCATGTCAATATTCTGACTTTACAGAGAGGAGAGAATGGACTTTAGTGCACCATCCTTACAATCTGCTTTTAAAATGGTGACCTAAACCCCAGAACTACATGTAAATGGAGCAATAAACAGCATTTATGGACCGTGTGCAAAACGGCCTCCCCTCTTCTTTTAAAAATCAGAGCTACCACATACAGGGAATTTTTTTTTCCACGGGGGGGGGGGGGGGATGGCAAAATGAAAGAGATGAGGGAACATTGAGACTCTGCAAACCGTTCAAAGGAATTGCTTTAAGAATCTAGTTTCGCCCCTCAACTAGAAAATTAGAGTTTTCCTCCTCCTAAATGTACTATATATATATTTAAAAGGTTGGAATAGACAGGAGAAAAAGACAAGAGATAATTTTGCATCTTTGCCACCTCTTCATTCCTAAGCCCCCAAATTGTTTTGCAGGGTTGTTGCAAGATTTGACACTTCAATCTATTTACCAGATTCCCCCCACCCACTCTCTTGTTGAACTGGGGGCAGAAAATATGAGAGGAAGTGAAAGATGCAGGGGAAGAAAAACAAAACAGGTGTCATTTTTTTAAAAAACAAACCCACCAGGGCAAAAGATCTTGCACGTTCATTTTGCAAAATATTTTAGCCTCCACCCGTGCCTCTCGTCTCCTAAGCGTAAGAAATCCGGGGATGCACCCAGATGCAGAATTTCTCACCCTTATTATTCCTGCTTGAAGGATAAATCTACATTTTGTATTCTAAATGCACTCAGCCTAAAGCCGTTCTACTCAACTGTTTGCTCATCCCCTCCAGTTTAAAAAACAGGAGAGACAAGGCTGGGGTGGGGGGTGGGGGAAGCAGCAAAATATTAACCCATCTCCTCTGCAGGAATATACATATATACATACACATACACATACACGCACACACACACACACATATATATATACACATATCTATGCACACTCACTCACTCACTCACACACACAGACACACAGCGAGAGAGAGCAGCAGGATTCAGCTTCGCAGGAAAAGCCTGGCTTGGCTCGAATCGAATCCGCTGTCTCTCCCCCTCTTCTCCCCCCTCCTTTTTTTTTGCACCGTCAATGGCTGCTACAAGGCCAGCTCCCTCCCTCCCTCAGCAACATTCGCCCGTTCCTTTTCTCCCACCCCCTCTCCCTCCTACGCTTTCTCCTTCCATCCTTCTCCCCCCATCTCCCCGCGTCAAAGCCAGGCAGATTTTCCAGCGCAAACCGTTGCGCAAAGCTTCTTGCACCGGGGGTGGGGAGGGGATGGGAGCCCTTCCCCTTTCCCCGAGCTATAGGGCTCCCCCCTTCTCCATCTTCGAAAAGGGGAGAGGGTCCCACCACGTAGGCCCCCCCCCCCGGTTCCTGCCACCCAAAGACCTGAGGGAAATGAATAAAAACGAAAAGGGCTCGACTTACTTTCTCCCACCACAGCTTTCAAGCCAGCGGGTGCCATGGCGTCTCTTGGTGGCGCCTCTCTATTTTGGGTTGGGGGGCTTGGGAGAGGGAAGACCTCTTTTTTCCCCCCTTTCTTTCTTTCCTTCCTTCTTTCTTCCTTTCCGCTTCCCCCACCTCCGGCTTGGCTGGACAGGATAACGCGAAGGAGAAGAAGGATCCTTGAGCTCCGCAGCTGGCAGGCTCAGCTGACTGGCTCCCCCACCCCGGAGGGGAAAATGGGCAGGCGGGTCCACGCAGGGCGTGGCCGGATTGTGATGCTGATGCAGAGGAGTCGGTGGTGCCGCGTTCTACGTCACGGCCGGGAGGGCCAATCAGAGAGCTCCCTGCGCAGCATCCGCTGCGGATGGCCCGCGCCGCGGAGGAGAGATGATGGGAGATAGGTAGACAGCAGGGGAGGGCGAGCGGAGGGGGCGAGCGGCGGCTTGGCTAAGCCCGCCAGGAGGGTAGCTGAGTAAGCTACCATGGAAATGGACTTAGGCCGGGCACAACCCCCACCCCCTAAGCTGCATGGGGGGTGTCCCCGACTTACAACGGTTCGTTTAATGACTGAAGTGGCAGCGGTACTGGAAAAAAGGGACCTTTGACCGTTTTTTTGTGATAGATGTGGATAGTTTGTATTCTTATGGAAAAGTAAAAAGTTGAGGTTTGATTTTAATATTTTATTCTACTCCAAAAGAGAGTCGCTTCATCCTCACCCCCTCACCCCCCTCCTGCTGTATAGATATAGGTTCTCCTGTCTGAGCAGGGGGTTGGACTAGAAGACCTCCAAGGTCCCTTCCAACTCTGTTTTTCTATTCTATTCTATTCTATTCTATTCTATTCTATTCTATTCTATTCTATTCTATATATTCTATGTTCTAGATTATGTTCTATTCTATTCTATCCTTATTCTATTCATTTCTAATTCTATTCTCTATATTTTATATTCTATTCTATATTATATTATATTTTATTATTATATATTCTATTCTATTCTATTCTATTCTATTCTATTCTATTCTATTCTATTCTATTCTATTCTATTCTTATTCTTATTCTTATTCTATTCCTTATTCTATTCCTTATTCTAGTTCTATTCTATTCTCCCCTCTTCACTTTTCTTTCCCCTTCTCCTTCCCACTGTGTCCTACTGTTTGTTTTTGTATTTTTTATATTTTATTCTATAATCAAAGAAAATGTTATTTTTTTAAAAAAGGGATTCAGGACCGTTTTCTCACTCTTATGACCGTTACAACATGATTTACATGTCATGTGATTTACATTCGGATGCTTGGAAAGTGATTCATATTTATGATGGTTGCAGAGTCCCTGTGTGTGTGTGTGTGTGTGTGTGTGTGTGTGTGTGTGATGATCCCCTTTTGCAACCTTCTCACAAGAAAAGTCAACGGGGAAGCCAGATTCACATAACAGCTGGGTTACAAATTTAAACAATGGAAGTGATTCACTTTAACATTTACGGCAACTCGAAAACAGGCATAGGATTATTTTATGAGTTGACACCAACTGTGTGATCGGTCATGTTGACTGAGTGATCTGGGTTGGTTGAAGATGCTAAATCCATAACCTGTCCTTTTATGTCCTTCCAGATGTGGGCAGCTGGATTTACAAAAAACCCCTCCATTGTCCAAACTGCCTTTGGGTTCACTACGATGGCCAAACAGAGCCTTGGTAGCCCTTGAGTTACGACCACAATGGAGCCCCAAATGTATGGTGCTAAGTGAAACCATCCCACAAGGCTTGGACAGTGGTGGAAAAGAGAAAGGGTGACTTGCCAATTCTCCCAACTTCTCCTGTGAAATCAAAAGCAAAAGCTGCAGGGAGGGAAGGCAGGAAATGTAAAACCAACAGCCTGGCCTCTGAGCAGAAACATCTGTCAAAACATCCAATGGAAGCTCTTTGGCGTTCCAGTGTTTGGAAAGCCCTGGCATCTATGCTTGCCCTTCTCCCTAGGCGATGTCTGCATAAGAAAACATGCAGTTGCAAGGCAGGCAGGCTGGCGTGGGGGGTGGAGAATGCCTGGTAAAATGGCCGAAGACACCAGATTAGATGGAAAATCAATTTAAAAATAAAATAAAGGGGAGGGAAGGGAAGAGATGAGAAGGAGGGAAGGAAGGGAGAAGGAAAGAGAAGTGAATAAGGAAGGGAGAGAAGGAAAGGAGAAGAGGGGAGAAGAGAAGAGAAGAGAAGAGAAGGAGGGAAAGAGAGAAGGGAGAAGAGAGGAGAGGAGAAGAGAAGGAGGGAAAGAGAACAAAGGGAGAAGAGGAGGGAGGGAGAGGAGGAGGAAGAGAAGGGTGAAATGATAGCTGTCTTCCAGTATTTGAGGGGCTATCATAGAAGGTATTGACTTATTCTTCAAAGCACCAGAAGGCAGAACAAGAGGCAAAGGATGGAAACTTGTCAAAGAAAGACAGAGGGACCCAACCTGGAAAAAGAAGGAATTTCCTGACAGTGAGAGCGATTTATCAATGGAACGGCTTGCCTCCAAAAGCCGTAGAGGTTCCATCGCTGGAGGTCTTCAAGTGGACAACCATTTATCTGGGATGCAATAAGGATTCCTGTCTTGGGTAGACATTTGGACTGGAGGACCTTTTCAAGAGTCCCTTCCAGCCCTTTGATCCTAAAAAACAGGTCTAGCTATTTGCACCCATGGCAAAAAACAAACCCCCCAAAAAAGTTCTGCAAAGATTTTTCACTGGAAAGGAGGATGGGAGAATTCTGCAGGTCTCTGCAGCAACCATACAAGTTCCCTGGTTTGGTTGTTGTGTTTTCATTTGTTTGGGTGGTGCATCAGATGACGTTTGATATGTCCATTGCTAAAGACAAGCATCTCCTAACAGTTGTTATTCTCCCCCCCCCCCCAAGCACCAAGGGGGGGGGGGAGTTAACTTACACCTGCTTACATGAGAAGGGTTTTTTTTTCAGATGTCCCTGACTTGCATCTGTCCTGCAAGCTGTCTGTAAGGGACTACTCAGTTCTGCTTGGGAATCATGGGAGTCTGTGGAGATTCTCAGCCATCCAGGCCATGGTTGTCCCAAAGGTGCCTTTTTTTCAGGAGGCAACTGGACTTTCTTCTGTCTTTTTTCTTTTGAAGGCGTTTTGCTTCTCATCCAAGAAGCGTCTTCAGCTCTGACTGCATGATGAGGAATGGAAGGGCTGATATTCCTTGCAGGCAGCTGGTCATTTGCATCCAATTAAAGAGGGTCGTTGAAGCACTGGAGGTTTATGTCTATGGAAGTTCTCAGTCATCCAGGCCATGGATGTCCCAAAGGTGCTTTCTTGGTTTTTCTTTGAAGACATTTCGTGTCTCATCCAGTCAGAGCTGAAGAAGCTTCTTGGATGAGAAGTGAAATGTCTTCAAAGAAAAAACCAGCAAGTCCAGTTGCCTCCTGAAAAAAAAAAAGCACCCTTGGGACTTGGAGGTTGACCTGTGTCTTCAGGGTCACCTGAGTAGCGCAAATGATTCCTGTAGTCTGCAATTCTTTTCCCCCTCTGGAAATCCATTCCTACTCCCGCACCGTTCCAAGGGTGTCCGTCCACCCCAAATTGTATAGCTAAAAGACTGTCGACATTCTCAGATCATCAGTAGGGACAGTTGGAAGGATGGGATGGCCTTGAAAGATCCACCCACGTCTTTGGACAAACATTTGCTCATGCAAAGCGTGCAGCAGGATGCGCTATCTACTTAAAGATTAAATCTTGGTGGGGCGGGGCCAAATCCAGAGGCAGAAACTACAACCCCCAGAGTGCCTTGCGCCTCTCGTAATGGCTTGCAGAAGCCTTGAAGGCTGCCTATCTCTTGTCTTGATTTAATTAACCCGGGAGAGGTGCGTCTCGCCAAAGGCGGAACCTGCTAGCAAGGAAGAGAAGAAAGCAAGCAAAAACTTAAGGATCGCATTAAACTCGCCCGCCTTGTATTACTGCTTTTTAGCTGGGAGAAAAAAGTGGGGGGAGGGGGGGGGACAAGCAGCGAAAAGAAGAAGTTGGGGGAAAAAAGAAGAGAAATCACGATGATGCCAGTAAGTCTATTTTCAATTTGCAAGGGTGGGGGGTTGGCTTTTTCCGCTCCTTTCTTCTGGAAACCCGTACGAAATTAAACTCAGGATTTCCCAATTCAACTCTTGGTGATTAAAAATATCCTTTTTGATATTAAAAAAAAATATCTGGACCGACTATGAATCGGTCGATCTTTTTTACTCTTGTACAACTTCGCCCACTTTTGCCATAAATGTAGCAATATGGAAACGTAAGGGACTCGCCCATTGATTTCAATCCTTTCTAACGCTGCCGTCTTTTATTTGGACCCCCGGGTTCTTTGCTCAAATAAAAATGTTTTGTTTGAGCTGTTACTTTGTCTTAGAAATTGTTGCAAAAAGAGTTGATATGCATCCAGGGTGGCGGTGGCAGTTTCAAATTTCTCCCTGATCTGTTTAAATTGTTGTTTAAAAATATGTTTGTTATACAGCCACTTCGTTTAACAAAGCGACCAAAGTGCTGAAGGGAATATAAACCAGAATGGTAGGCAAAGGTGTGATCAAAAACAGATGGCTTGGTCAACCAACTGTGGGACGCAGGAAAGTGGAAACCTAGAAACTTCTTAAGAGTTAAGATTCACCAAGTTCAGATATTAGATGGGGGGGGGGGGAATCTGGAGTCTGGTAGCACTATTTCCAACCAACTTTGTTTATTAAAAGATAAATTTTTGGAGGGGAGCTTATGGGTTGATCCTGATTAAAACCTTAATAGGATGTGCCGGTTGGACAACTGGCTACCAGATTCCTCAAGCTTTGAACCCCAGTTAAAACAGCTGTTTATTTATTTATTGTTTGCTTGTTTGTCAAGCATGTATTAGGTAACAAATATAAGTATAAACAGGATTATTAATACATGAAATGGGTATGAATAAAAGGGGACATTAGGACAGGGACGGTAGGCACGTTGGTGCGCTTATGCACGCCCCCTTACAGACCTCTTAGGAATGAGGTCAACAGTAAACAGCCTGAGGTTAAAGTTTTTGGGGTTTTGGGGAAAACAACATTATAGTTCTCCTATAATGTCAACCAATACTGGTTGTCTCTGAACCAGACTCCCACGTCTTTGGTTCTCGAGTAGGAGAGACATTGCAAAAACTTCTGAAGGCGAATTACACACTATGTTCCTCTTCCTTTGCTCAACTGTGACAACAGAAGCGGGGAAACTGAGGACTCACACTATCACAACCCACTCTTTGCTGGGTAGAAAGTTTCTGAGGGTTTCTGCAAGGAACTTCCTGTCACAAACGCAGTTGTGTTACTTGGTCTGGGAAAAACAAAAGGTGTAAAAGTGAACAGAGCAGGGGTCCCCAATTCCTAGGCCATGGCCCGTTTGAAATTGGCCCATGGAAGGGCAGGTGAATGTGCACGCACAGCTATGCTTACCTGAGCAGCAGGCAAATGCACAAGGCTCGCTTTGTGTGAGTAGGGCCATCCCCCCCCCCCCCCCCCGCTGCCTCCAATCCACAAAGGTGGGAAGGCTGGAATAGTCAGGCTGAAAGCAACCATTAGCAAAAATAGGAGGTTGAAACCCCATTTTGAGTGGGTGGTCTATCCTTGATCAGGAGCAGGGGGAGATCACATTCAGGGAGATGGATGGCTTTACATTTTGATTGGAGAACTTGCCAGAAATACCTGTTTAAGCAAGTGGGTTCAAAACCCTCAGTCTACATTTTGCCTCTCCAGAACTGCTTGAATAAATCTGCGGCCTGTGAAAATGCAATTATAAAGGAGAATGTTTGTAGCTCAGGGCTGAAAGGAGGGATCCTCTTTGAGGTGGCAGAGGTTTCATGACCCAAACTGGGCAACATCATCAGTGCTAGTAGGGAGTGGGGTTTCCTCTCAATTTATATTCTAGTGCCTTGCCCTGACAGAGCTGGTGGAAGCGGTCTAGGTGTTTTTTGGGTTGGATGATGATAACACTGATAATGTTACCTACCTAGTTGGGTCATGAAACGTATGCAAGAAAACAAGCAAAACCACAATGTATCCAGGCGCGCGTGTGTGTGTGTGTGTGTGTGTGTGTGTGTGTGTGTGTGTGTATGACCTCCCTTCTAGCCTTCAGGATTTCCATGGGTGTGGGAGAACCCCTTTTCTTAAACTTCCTCCTCCAGTTTCCTTGGAGTGGTTACATAAAGAGCCATCTGATTCGAGAGTCTTCCATCCAAAAACCCGCCTGGCAGATTAGGAAACTGTCTGCTTGTTGTTGTTGGCTGGCGTGTTTTGTTTTTTTCCCTGTCCCACTTGTGCTCATGGTTGCCACACCTGGGCAAATCCAGCCTTGCCTAAACACCTGTCCAAACCTTGGCAAACTCCAGGTAACAAGCAACACAAATGGCGGGGTTGGAAGACACGGCTTCCAAATGCTTTCTCAGGACCGAGGCATGGAAGAGCATCAGCCGAGGCCAAACAGAGACGGAGAGGTGGTCCTTGCCTTATGACCACAATTTTGCCCAAGCCAGGAGGAGGAGGAGAAGGAAGAAGAGGAGGAGGAGGACTGCGGGGTCCTTGGTGTTCTCTGAGCTTGGTGGTTTTCTTGACCTGTGTTGCTAACTGAACTGCAGTGATTCACTTAACCACGGTGGCAGAAGGGGCGTAAAATGGGGCAAAACTGTCTCGCTTAGCAGCAAAAAAAATTCGGGCTCCATTAAGGTCGTAAGTCAAGGACTACCAATATTGCATTGTTTCCCTTCAAAAAGGATCAACCTGCAAACACAGAGAATTTTGGGAATGGAAAGGAAAAGCAAGGATAGTTGTTGCGGGAATTCTTTTGGATGAGAACCCAATATTGCCAACACTTAAGTTTATAGTTCCATATTTGTCCCTAGCGACTGGTTTATTTTCTTACTACATGTTGTAATTCGGGTGGTTTGGATATCCAGAGGGTGGAATTCGGGTCCCGGCCCAAGGATGCAATTGATAAGCCAAAATTCCTGGAGGTTAATGCTTTGTGGAAAGACCCAGGTGTGTTTGCAAATACAACTCGGATGGGAAGGAAAAGCAAGACAAGAGGCATCAATTAGGTAGAGTAAGATGACGGATAATCATGGGTTACCCGTAAATAGAAATAGCTCACATGATCAAAAATTACCATATACAGAATTGGCCTATTGTTTCATACTAACCAGCTTGGCAAGAGATTATACGTGGACTGCCTCCAGTTTCCTACTAGTTCCACTCCACCTGGTTTTATCCCATTTAGAAAATATTAATTCCTGGGGGGAAAAGAAAATTATAAATTGGCCTCCATTAACAATTATTTTTAAAAAATTATATGAGGTTCAATAAGCCTATCTGCTCTATCTATCTATCTATCTATCTATCTATCTATCTATCTATCTATCTATCTATCTATCATCTATATCTATCTATCAATCATCTATATCTATCTATCTATCTATCTATCTATCTATCTATCTATCTATCTATCTATCTATCTATCATCCATCCATCCATCTCTGTCTTTCTTTTCTTTTTCTTTTTATCTCTCTCTCCCTCCCTCCCTCCATCTATACGTATCTATCTATCCTCCATTTCTGTATTTCTTTTCTTTTTCTCCCTCCCTCCCTCCCTCCTTCCCTCCATCTATCTATCTCATCCATCCATGCATCCATCTCTCTCTCTCTCTGTGTGTCTATCTACTATCCATGCATCCATCCACGCACCCATCTCTCTCTCTGTGTGTCTCTCTTTCATCTATCTCTATCACAGGAGGTTTCCCAGGAAAAATTGGACACCCATTTGTCTTCATTAGTCGTATGGGCACCTGCCTTGGGCAGGGGGTTGAACTAGAGATCTCCAGCCCTCTGATTCTATGTTCCTTGAATGGTTAGAGCTGTCAGATTCAGGCTGAAACAATGTGAAGGACCACCAGATGGCCTCAAAGAATCTTTGCTGTCGTGTAGTGGACACCTCACAGTCCACATCTAACAGCACCATCCATTGAAATCAACTAATATCTAGCCATAAGAGACATACCTACTTACATTTTAATTTTGTCGGTTTTCTTTTGCCTCTCCCTTCCCTGACTCTCCTACAGATGCATTTCTTTTTCTCAGATAAAGTGATTCTCCTGTTTGACTTCTGGGATGTCCACAGTGCGGGAGGTAAGTAAACGAACTTATCTAAGGAAAACAGAGGCTGCCCAGCCAAAGATCGGTCTTTGAAGCTGGAGAGATTGTATTTGAAACCTGAGCTTTCACAATAGGGAGGGCCATTAGGAGTAATTTGCCCTCTTGACATGGCAGCTCAGATTTCCTTCAAACACTTGACTTGATTGGTTTTCCCAGAACCAAAAAGTGAAAGAGCCACACTAGCTACAAGATTCATAGCAACTACTTTAGACACAATTCAGTTGTTCTTGGTGGAATTCTAAGAGTTCTTTGAAGTCTCTACATGTCACCAAAGATAGTGCAACAGAGAAGGAGAACAGCCATGAATATATTTTCAAGGATTTGTGTAAGTATGACGGTGGTGTTATCCATTCAGGCGTGTCCACCCTTGGCAATTCTGCAGGCCAAGTCTCTCTCCACATCTTCTGATCGAGGAGGAGGAGAAGGGAGAGGAGAAGGGAAGAAGGAGGAGGAGGAGAAGAAATAGTAGTAGTAGTAGTAGTTATCCATTCAGTTGTGTCTGACTCTTGGTGGTTCTATGAGCCAGGTCTCTCTCCACATCTT